TGTGTGTGTGTGTGTGTGTGTGTGTGTGTGTTTTGTTTTTAGCAGAAAATGCTCACTGTGATTTGGATCAGTTGGTCATCATCACCATCAGGGTTCCTCCACAGTAGGACAACATCCACATTGGAAGAGATTCGGTAGCCCACAACATCTTGGAGTTTTCCTTTACCCCCATCGAGGAAAACTTCAGTGGAGTAGGTGAGCTTGTACAGCCGGTCATTATTTAATGAGAGACCAGTTGTGTGACCTGCATAAAGACAGTGACACAAGTCAATCTGTAAGACAGCTGTTAGGCCAGGGAATATAGAGACTTAACACCAATACCTTCCTCTAGCTCGCTGGTACTCACTGGGGCTTAGTACTTACAAAGATACTTATCTGCTGAAGCAAAGATGTTCCTGCTCCTCCACCTATGTGAGATCAGTGGCTTAGAAAATATAAATAAGACAACCAAAAAAACAAATTCCCATTTCAGAAAACCTTAGTTTGTACCTCTTGTCAGTTATCAGGTTATCCAAATATTAACCTGGTTGAACAAAAGAACATTTTTTTTAAAAAAAAATGCCATTGCATTGTTTCTTATTATGTAACAAGAGCTCAATTAATTAATAGTAGTCACTTAATACATTTATTAAAAATTATTTATAATTAATAAAAACCATTTATAATTTCCATCTTTTTTAATGCCAATAGTTGAATGCCATAGTAGTTTTAGTAGTTCTAGAAGGGCATTTCTTTAATTTGGATTTTTTTGCTATTTAAAAAATAAGCCCCCATGTACTTTATTAATTTACTTAGTAAACTTTTAGTACAAAGGTACTTTTTAAAAAATCTTTATTTATTTATTTTTTAATGTGGTGCTGAGGATAGAACCCAGGGCCTCATGCAGGCAAGGCAAGTGCTCTACCACTGAGCTACAACCCCGGCCCCGTACAAAGGTACATTTTAAGACTACAACTAAATAAATTTAAATTAGGTTTGCTGAAATAATGTGATTTTTTTACTACATAAAGTCCTAGCATAGGCTTAAATTTGACCAGGGGCAATTTTTTATTTACTTATATGAATTTAGTACTGGGGACTGAACCTAGGACTTAATGTATGTTAGGAAGCCATTTACCACTGAGCTACATCTCTAACTCCACCAGGGGCCAGTTAATATCACAGAGTGTACACATACAGAGTATTGTGGGACAAGAAACTGACATATGGAACTTTTCCAATTCAATTTAACTTATCCCCAAGAAATGTGAAGAAGGAGCAAGTAAGCCTTCTCCAGAGGTGACTTGGAGTTTATAGTCATATAATTTGGGGTGGGTATATTTTCTATGAATGAGTCTCAAGAGATTATCAAGAAAAATTCAGTATATGTTTCTCCTTAGGACTAATGAGGTTACATTATTACCAAGTTAACTATAACAGGCAGTCATCACTTTTCTT